CGGGCTGTTGATCTGTAGCTTATTTCATCATTCAGCCAACATGACTTATAAGAAGGCAATTTTCATTTTATTTAAATTTATAAAATAGTTTAAATGTTGTCAGGTTTTTTATTTAGTATTATTTATTATTTAGTAATATTTCCTATGAAGTTGTGTTGACCTGTCACACAGACAGCTGCATAGTTTACACCCTTTGTTCACATATAACAGAATGGGGCATTATGTGTGAAGAGAACTCTAAGTTTTATTGGTTTCGTGCAATTTTGTGAAATTTTATAACAAGAATATAAATGTTACTGAGTCCACACCAGGCCCAGCGCTGCTCTCTCAGCTTGCTGTCACGGATCAGGATGTAAAGCTCTCAGCCACTACTCCAGACCCATGCCTGGCTGCTTCCCACCATGATGCTCATTGACTCACCTTCTAAGACTGTAAGCAAGTTCCCAATTAAATGCTTTCTTTTGTAAGTTGCCTTGGTCATGGTGTGCTTTCACATCAATAGAACTGTCATGAAGACATCTGGGTTATCTGAGATACATAATTTTTCTTTTCTTTTTACCTTCTTGCTCTACTTTGGACCTGATTGGATAAGTTAAGACAAGTTTTTACATATATATTTTGAGAACAAAAGGAATAAATGATATTTTGAGTAGGAATGTGAGTACCAGAAAATGCTAAATGCTGGGCTGCTAATGTGACCTATTTATACTGGAAAATAGGGATAGTCTCCAGACTCCTATTACTGAAAATGTTCCTAAGAAGTAGATGTTCTGGTCAGTTTTCTTGTTAACATGACAGAACCTACCATCATTGGGTATGAGGGAATCTTAATTGAGAAAATGTCTCTATTAGACTGTACTGTAGACATGCCTGTAGGGCATTTTCTTAACTAATGATTGATATGGGAGGGTGCAGTCTACTGTGTATGATGCCAACCCTGGGCTGGTGGTCCTGAGTTATATTAAAAAAAATCAGGCTGAGTGAACTGAGTAGTATGCCAGTATGTAGTGTCCAACCATGGTCTCCTCCAGTTCCTGCCTCCAGGTTCCTGTTGGGGTTCCTGTCCTGACTCCCCTCAATGACAGACTCATGTGGAAGTAAAACCAAACAAACCTTTCTTCCTCAAACTGCTTTTGGTTGGGGTGTTTAGAACAGCAACAATGAAGCAAACTACTACATCAGTCTCCAGGGAGAGTGCAGATGCCAGATGCTAACCCCAACCGTCATTTACAAAAGCGTTTGCTCCCTCTTGTCATCCAACCAACTACTCAGGCCTGTCATTGTCTTTCAGGATACCTCTCAAGTCTGTCTCCACTGCCGCCAAGATTATATTTCTTGTTGCCTAGGCTACCTATGTCCCTTCATCCCTCTGTTCTGTTCTAATTAATGCTACTCTATAGCCATAGTGATATTTTAAAGATGCAAATCTAATTATGTCATTTTTATTCTATAACCCTTGAAGACTTCTCATATTCCAGGAATTCTCATGGCTTATGAAGGCTAGGCATTTTTGTATCAACTCCCATCCATCCAATTTTTTGTAGCAATTTTTTTCACTTATTCACCTAGACCAGTTAGTTTCATTGAAGAATTCACATTTTCTTTTTGCTTGAGATAGGGTCTCACTATGTAGCCTTCGATGGCCTGAAGCTCACTATACAGATGAGGCTGGCATCACATTCTCAGATATCTGCCTGCCTCTGCCTCTTGAGTGCTGGGATGCTACCATGACCAGCCTCCACACTCCTCTTCATGACCTGTATAGAAGACATAAAAGATGCTTCTTCTTGGAATACACTGTCCTTACTCTTTGCACACTTCTCAGATTCCTCCCTTTTATATTCCCAAGAAGCATTTTTTTTTAAATGAAAAAGCATGACATAGCCAAGACTAGCAATGATCTGGAACTCCTCATACTCCCACCTCCACCTCCCAAGAACACAGATTATAGGTCGACACCACCATGCCTGGCTCCAAAAAGCACTTTTTGACAATAGATAACTAGCAAGATTTGAGTTCAGAATCTTGATGCCATGACAGCTATTGTATGTTCTTGACAAACTTCAAGTCATCAAAATAAAAAAAAGTCGTGGAGAACTCAAATTATGATTTGCCATATTTGCCATATGAAGAATTCCATTTCTTCTGTGAAGTACCCATGCAGGCAGACAGCAATCCTTCCATCAGGCCAGTAAGATGGCTCAGGAGGCAAAGGATTGATAAGTGAGTCTAAGGACTAGAGTTGGATTCCTGGAAACCATAGAAGAAAGAGAAAACCAACTCCTAAAAGTTGTCCTCTAATCTCTACACATGAGTTGTGGCACATATCGCTGGCACTCATGCACATACATGTCACACACACACACAAAGAAAAGGACCCTTGCATCATTGGGAAAATCCTCTTCTTCGTGTGCCAAATTCAGCAGTAGGTGTGTAGGTAAGAGCAAAATACATATGCAATCATTTCAAGATAAGGTTACAGGATAAAGTTATGTAGGCTTCTGTTTGAACTCTCATTTTCTGTTTCAACTACCATTTATGCTTATTTTAATCTCAAATGTGCTTGTGGATATTAGTCAGCACATACACATTCTCCTGCAGTTTTATGACCACTAACCTCAAGGCATAGTGCCTCCTATTATCAAGGTTAAAAATGAAACCAGGTTGATTTGAGAGGAAATCAATAGGGGAGTCTTCTATAGACATGGCAGAGAATTTCAACTCTGTATAGTCATTAATTCACTACCAGCTGCTAAGCATGACCAGAAATGATGGACACATTGTTACCATGGTGTTAAAATGAGGAACAGTAACTGATAGGATTTTTGCACATTTCAGCATCGAATAAAACATATCATTGAATCTGACAGCATCACAATGCTATGTCAATGATGTAAGATGATCATACATGGCTAGAAAAGAGTGTAGTAAGTATAGAATTGTATCTTTTAAAGTGATATCTGAGAGGAATAGGGAATGAAGGGCACCCTGCTTCCCAAAACTAGTGTCACTTTTAGGGGGGGTGAGCAGGTGACATCTCAATTGCTTAGTTTAGATGTCTGAGAACTTCATTTACAGAAGAAAACACAGAGTGAAATGTACAGAAGGGGCCACAATGAACATCTTAGTACTCTTGACTTGATGGTGTTGGAGAAGGGGTGAGGAGTGAAAGGAAGTTAGCATTTAAAGATGATTCTGGCTACTGAAGGGGGAGTGTTTATAAACCCTGCCCCTCTCCTGTGGCTTGAAAGACCTCCAGTGATGGTAAGGGCTCCAACTGAGAAACAGTAAAGAGAAAAGTGCTGTGAGCTGGAGGTACACTCCTCTGGTGAATTTTGACTGACACAGCACATTGAGTGTTGCTAGGAAGGTACTGAAGAGGTAATGTGCCAGATGTCATTGGTTTAGTAAAATTAACCCAACTCTCTAGGTCATCTTCACTAATAAATTGCCTTCTGGGTCTAAGGCAAGAAGACAGCCTGGAGGTGCTAGAAAAAGCAATGTCTGTGAGTAGTATTGTGCCATAAAAGGACCCCACATGGGAACTCCACAGGCGAAGTCTAAAGAACAAGCAGTCATGCAGAGTGCTCTGGGAAGAGAATACGACATATGTAGACCTCTGCTTCCTTTAATGAAGAGAGGTTTAAATTAGGCTACATTAAATGCCTTGTCCACCATGAGTATCTGTAATTCAATGCTGGGAATAGAACACAAAAGATGTTTTGTCTGATCCGTGAACGTTGGTGAAATCACAGAGCTAGTCGAGGTCTCAGTAAGGTTCTTATCTGTTAATCAGATATCTTTGATGATTATACATCATTGATATGCTCTACTCCAAACCCTCTGCTATCACACAGCAGCATTCTCCCACAGTTCAATCTGCCTACAACAACCTATCGTTTCGCCTCATTCAGTCACCTCATTTCACGGACACACTACCTTCTACCTGGCTCCTAGAACAGATACTTCAAATTCTTTGAAAACTCCTTTCTCTCTTAGCTCTTGGTTAATCAGTAACTTATTTTTTTAATTCTTATTGATTTATTCTTTTGAATATGTTATAGAATGGAAATTCTGGGCAAGTCACTCCTCTGCTTAAAATCTCTCCATGCATGCATATTCATGCTCTTGGGATGAAGAGCAAAAAGCTCTGACAATTTTGGATGACCTGACGTTTTTATAGCTTCCTCTTAGTCTGCTGTACCCTCACTGGCCTGTGGTTAGCCTTGTCTTCTTACTTAGTTCCTGACTACATTCACAGGTATCATGCCTACTGCTATTGCTGAGGGGCTTACTCCATTTCCCTTTATAGGGCTCAGTTCACATTCCACATCCCCAAAGATAATCTTCTCTGAGCTCCACCATCCAATCTTCTCTTCAACTGTTAGGGTTTTATTAATTAGAGCAGAAGCTGTAACACTTACTGAGAGCTTATTACATGCAAGCACCGTGTTAGTTATTTTCTACATCTTAATTCACCTTTACTATCCCATGGGTCTGCGCTCCATAGATATTCCACAGATAGTTTCAAGTCCATCAAAAATGTATAATGTAAAACCATAGTTCATAGGTACTTAGAAATTCTATAACTGTGTGTCTTAGGGAATAGCCATGTCTAAAGATCTTTCGATGCTGACATGCATATATAAAGCTATCTTACAAATAATCAAACTCCAAGTATTTGACGGAAACATTCCTTAGGAAAGGCCTGAATTCTCAAAGCTGTCCAATCATTCTTTTGTTAATTCACCTGTGAATTCTTCAGTCCACCTGGCACCAAAATTGTGTCAAACACCTCATTTCCTTCAGTTTTCTACATTCTGTCTTTGTAGATGATAGTTGTCATGCTGATGATCCATGACCACCCTTTCTGTCACAAGTCCTTCACACACAAGCCTGCAAACCCAGGAATCTCCTATTCATCTAAGTTTTAGAAATGTTAAAAGCAAAAAAAAATTGTCATAACTGGATTATGAAGCAGCAACGTAATAAAATCTCACCTGTATCCTGTGCAGGTGGCATTTTGACCCAAAGGAGCCACTGGTCTGAAACTGACCCGTGGGGAAACCTGGGCTGAGAGCAGAAATCCCAAGGCAAGAATAATCAGTGCTACTGTTGTACCTAAAAAAAAAGAAAAAGAAAAAAGCTTTTTACTGGAGAGCATTGACAACATTATTTATTTCAATACAGACTTGGTTTGACATCATAGCTCTGAATGAAACTCCTTGATTTATCTTCCCTGGATTAAAAAAAGAAAAAGCTTTACTATGTATACTAATGGTCAGAAGAACTCAGTAACACATACCTATTGAGACTAAAAGAAAACAAAATTTAAAGCAAATCCAGTTCTTAGCCAGAGTAATTGGTAATAATTTTCTAAGACTGAAACGGCTGTCAAACCTCCCAAAAAAGATACCAAAGATTGGAAGATTGCTGATAAATCTAAAAAAAAAAATCATACAATGAAAACAAGGCTCTTCCCACCCTAGCAGCCTGATGTCATACCTCCCTCACCATTATGATCTCCACCTTTGGAACTATAAGCCCAAATAAACTTTTCCAGAAGTTAAAAGAAAAAAGGAAAAAAGAAAGGAAGCCTCACTGTCAAGTCACCAACCCAACAGAAGCACACAGGGAGAGAGGAGCACATCAAATGTTCTTGTCAGAGCCAAGAAATTCTCCCAATGGCATTTGATCAGGGAAGATGTGAATTAGCAAAATAAAGTCCCAGACTGATTATTTCTAAAGCAGGGGAAAAAAATACTGCCTATTGAAAAGGGAACGCCATACCAAAAAGGCTATGCCACATACATTCATTCACTTTCCTGTTAATATTTGGGACTGAACATTTGCTCTGCACTTGAAGAAACAGGATTCATGATCATTCTATCACTGAAAAGACCAAATTTCTCCAGGTGTGGTAGGGTGCGCCTCCAGTTCTAGTACTTGGAAGGCAGAGGCAAAATGACCACAAATCCATGCCAGTCTGTGCTATAATGCAAGACCCAACCCTGACTGCAAAAACCTTGTGCTGGAGTTGCAGCTCAGTACCTGCCTAGCACAAGGCCCTGGTCACATCTGAATGTGTGTGCATGTGTGAGTGCACACACACATACACATGCACACACACACACACACACACACACACACACACACACACACAATTTCTGTTCTGGGCACAGAATTGTGAGGACACAAAAAAGGAATAGCAGGAAGAAAAAGATTCTGTGTTATCTGAACAACTGCCTGGGACCATATGGAGCCTAGGGATAGAATGTATGTGGCAGTAAGTATTTTACTGAAATAACAGGCAAGTAATTTAGAATTCAACTAAACTTATCATTAAAGGATTAAGTAGCAGGAAAGCCTTAGGAGATCATGTGGTAGGAGAGTGAGGTGGCAGCAGCTGGGTTGAGGCGGCCTCTGCTATTGCACAACTCTGGTTCTGGACAGAGCACATGGCCTTCCCCAAGTTCATTTAGTCTTCTTTAAATGGGTCTTAGTGAAAACGCACAGATAATTTTTTAATTTTAAATGCTACTATTTAAAGATTCTTTTATGTAATGCTATTCAATGTCTAAAAACATGAACTACCATACAGTTGTTAGTCTCAGCTGAGAAACAGCAGTGTTCAAACAACAGAAAAAAGCTTAACACACCCGTTATCTCTTTCTTCCCTTTTTTCTCTAGGTTAAACATCTCTTCTTACTTCAACAGGCTTATAAATGCCTGTTTAAAACCACCTCCTCCAAAACACAGGTCAGCCTCTCATCTTTGCTTCACTTGTGCTAAAACTTGGAATGAACTCCTGCCCCTGGGCACAGGGCATCCACTGCCAAGTTACAAACCAGAGTGGGAGCATCCTGCCCACTCCAGGAAGGAAGGATTGAACCCCGAGTAACTGAGTTTGGACACTGGGATATATTTTCTCACCAAAAACTGTAGTATGTGCTAAAGCAGGTTTGTGAAATGAAATTTTGTCTCAGATATACTTTTGATTGAATAGAATTTAGTTAATGCCACTCAAAAATCTTTGTGTTTGAGAGTAAAACATGCATTTTACTCCAGATATAAAGTTGCGATGGGAATGCAGCCAACTGATGAGTAGAACTGTGTGTGTGCATTTGAAAAAAATTAGAAAATATCTGAGGTAACTATGTAAAGACAATGTTATAGGTGGATCTTATTCTGTCCTGCAGCAGAGCCCTTTACAGAGAAACAACCGGTGAAATGGTCAACTTTTAACACAAACAACTCGTGCTTTTTTTTTTTTTTCTTATTTTGCTATTATATAAAACACAGTTGACCAATTAGATTTTACCCTAGAATTTAGGCCTGTTTCAAAAAGTCTTTCCTTGCTCTATGAAAGACTATTCTAATATTTGCTTCCATACTATTCCAAAATAAAAAAACACAATGTTGCAGAGTAAGAGCATAAAGGACAAGCTTTTCAAACAAGGGCAGAAAAATTGTGGCGAGGCCCTTCAGTTTTGCTTCTCTGAACAGCATTCCAACTGTTGACAGAAACGTCTCCTCAGTAAATTGCGTCCTTATAGCTCCCTTCTTGTCTCAGTCTTGTTTCCAGCCACTTAGCCCAGGCTAGTTGAAAGATCCTACCTCCCACTGATTTGTTTTCTGTCTATCATTCTAGTTTTGCACTGTTTGGCTTGGAAATCATTGTCAGATGCCACGGTTACCTTTTGAGAGAGTCACTGTCACCACTAGAAGGTATTTTAAAGCAGGATTCTACATCCGGCCACCTACCTGCCAAACTACCAAAGGTAAGCTTCCTTCGGCCCACTTTCTCAACGAGCCAGACTCCCACGAGTGTGAAAATGAAGTTGGTGAAAGCTGTCACTGAAGCCAGCCATATTGCAAGCCTGTCATCTTCCACACCAGACATCTGCAGGATGGTTGCACTGTAGTACCTGCGAGCAAAGAACACAATGACTGTTGTTGGTCGTTTTTCAAGGAAACTGTCAATCAGACAGAAAGATGCAGCCACCTGGAAAAAAAAAATGGCTAACTACACTAACAGCATTGCTACAAGAATTCACGTAAGCCCTTTAAAGGATCACAATGGAGGAACCTTTCTCAGTCACCGTTATTCTGGAGAGAGAAGGTTGAGTGCTTCCAAGATGAAATGTCCCACCTCTAACACAGCAGAGCCGACGGCTCACTAAAGCTATCAGGGATGAGCTCTAAGACATGGTGACATCCCAAATTCACTGTTCTCTGTGAATGAGGAGACTGTATATAATGTGGTAATGGTGGTGGAACATGTGCAGGGTCTCTGTAAGAAAGCTGAAGGAGAACCACATGTCAGGATGTATTTAGCTTTGTACAGGAGGAGGTACAGACTTATGCACATGAGGACAGCTCAAGGGCTTCTGGGGGACTGTGCTCTTCTGTAAGGTTGAGTCTTGAGCACGATCTATTTTCCTAAGTCTGCAGACTCATCTTGTTTACATGAATTCAACGAGATGACCATTTTCTCATGAGATGCTTTTCTATTTAGAAGAATTAAAAAGCCAACAGTGCATCCTGAACTGTGGCTTTGCCTAGTTTTGAGGCATTCTAAATCTGACAGTGGGTGTTTGAGCAGTACGTGAGACCAAGCTGGTTATTTTCATAGTAAAAAAATCTGCAGTTTCTAGCTATTTATCAATACTTACATAATATTTCAGAGATAAAAATCTGCCTTAAATATGTCTCTTTGATTCATCAATGGCTTGTTTACGAGTTTTTAAATTAATGAGGATGGTTCTTATATGAAATATTAACAACATCACAGCTCATTCATCTTGACAGAGAATTTTCCTTTTTTAAAATAGCAATCCAAATTTATAAATTACTGTGAAACAGGAAGGATATATTTTACTGATCACACTAAAAATTACATAAGCCATTTGAAGAATGATGACAGCTGTTATAAAACCACAAATCCCCAGTGGAATAACTCCTAGTATGGAAATTGTGAGTGTTTTCAGAGTGATGAAAAAAAAAATCTGTAAACGTGATCCATTCCATCCAAACAGTGCTTTGCAATTTTCAAGCTCTATTGTTGTTATAGACATCTGTACAGAAAAGGTGTGTGGATCTTCTACAGAAGAAAATGAACACCAAATCTAACAAGGCAGAAATATTCAGGAAAACTCAAATACATAATACTGAGAAAGTTTTGGTATGTGTTATGTTAATTAATGCTGGAATCTTCTCAGTGTTCTAGCAAGGAAAACTGAGACATTGAACAAAACCATTTTCAAAAAACAAAACAAAAACAAAAAATGTATAGCTAAATAAGGCTATTTTGATGTTTTAAATTTTGACTCAAAACTCACAAAACTGCCAGAGTTAATTTAGAGAATACAAAAAAGAGTAGTATTAAACTATGTGGTTTGATTTGACTTAAAATATAGGTGCAAAAATATGGTGTTACTAGAGCTTTAGGGACAACCTGTAATCACCATCCTGTGATTCAAAAATATGAATTCCAAAGTTATCATTGTGATATGTTGTCCAGGTAATATTAATCATCATTTGATGAATATTTACTTATGGATTGGGTACTGCCACCTTCAAGAGACTCACAGGTTGGTATTAGGGAATAAAAATGGAAACAAGTCATTTTACTTCACAAATGTGGAATAAAGAGCAAAAAAATATTTTCATTTGTTGTGAAATGTCCCTTGCTATCTCTGAAATTTAATGATGTATAGCCATGAAGGATCACAGGGGTTTTCTAGCAGGCATGACAATCTGGAATGGAAAGTGAAGGCAGAGCAACACACACACAAAGCATGGGGATATTTCATCTAGAACCCCAGTGTTTCATGTGGGATGAATGTAAGGTGTACATATATATTAAACAGAGGCTGCTCACTGCGCTCCCCTCCCCCAGCACACAGTGAGCAGTGCTGTGGAATGTTCTGTATGTTAAATGTGTTGCTCTGATTGGTTATTAAATAAAACACTGATTGGCCAGTAGCCAGGCAGGAAGTATAGGCGGGACAAGGAGAGAGGAGAATTCTGGGAAGTGGAAGGCTGAGTCAGAGAGACGCTGCCAGCCGCCGCCGCCATAACAAGCAAGATGTAAGGTACTGGAAGGCCACGAGCCATGTGGCAACTTATAGACTAATAGACATGAGTTAATTTAAGATAGAAGAATTAGATAGCAAGAAGCCTGCCACGGCCATACAGTTTGTAAGCAATATAAGTCTCTGTGTGTTCACTTGGTTGAGTCTGAGGGGCTGTGGGACTGGCGGGTGAGAGAGATTTGTCCTGACCGCGGGCCAGGCAGGACTGGAGAAAACTCCAGCTACAGAGCAGCTCCCAAATGCAATTATGGTTGGGTTCTGTCTTACAGGCAATGGAAAAATCAAATAGAATTGGAAGAGAAATCACAAGAAGACATGTGTTCGGTGAGCAGACTGCTCGGGGGGACTTCTGAGTAAGATGACAGGCTAGAAACTGCCTCTGTCTGACCCGGTGAAACAGAGGTACCAAGAAAGAGTCCAATTCAATAAAGGAAAGAGGGCGAACATCAGAAACCCGAAAGGGCAGCAGTAGGACATATAAAGTGCCAAGAAGAAAGCCTTGCTGAGAACAGCTCCAGTTAGCTGGTTACAGGGCAGGGGAGGAGGAGACTTCTCATCTAAAGTTATCCATGGCAACATGGATCCTCCAAAATCCATAACACCTTACCTGCTGATTTCCAAGAAGTGGAAATAGATAAAAAGACAGATTAAGAGCTCAAAATTGACAAAAAAGATCAATGACCTCAAACAAGCAGATGAATAAAGTGAGGAGATCATTCAGGACCTGGAGAGTAGTGTCAGTAAGATACTAAAGGAACAAAGCAGAAAAAAAAGGCACTTTTGATCATGGGTACATTGAAAAGAAAAAAACATTATGGGAAGAATATATGAGTAAAGGACAGATAAGAAAGAGCTCACTATGCCCAACACAGTGAACTAGAAACCCACTAACATCAGTAGAGTAGAAAGGAAGAACAAAGGGCAATGTAGCCAGCTAGTAAAAGAACTTAAACTTACAAAAATTAGTAAACTTTCTTAATTATAACTTAAATTCAAATAACCTCCACTCACCAATAGAAATATGCAGATTGGCTGGCTGAATTAAAAATAAGACTCAACTGTCTGTTCTCTCCAAGAAACATATCTCACTGGCAAACACACACACATACACATACACACACACACACACACACACACACACACACACACACACACACATCAAGGGAAGTCAGCTACCTTAGCAAGCAAATAGAAGCTTGAAAACAAGCTGCCATCAATATTTTTTTTTGCCATCAATATTTTGATTTCCAATAAAGTGGACCCCAAATAAAAATTAATAGAAGAGATTTTAAAAGGCCCCTGTATACTCATAAAGGAACAATTCATCACAAAGAGACAACAGTTGTTAAATATATATGAAATGAAGATTGGGGCTCCCAATTTCATTCAAAAGGGTTAGAAGCTCCAGTTACAAAATAGAAGTGAGCTCAACACTCTCTTCTCATTTATCATGCAAACTGAAATCTCAAGAGTTAAACCATACTGTAAGTCAAATGGACTTAATAGATAACTACAGAACAGTCCACTCCATAGTCAGATATGTATCTTCTCATCAGCCCAGGGAACCATCTCTACAAGCAAGTTGACAAATACAACGCAAAGACCTGGAAACTGAACATCACATTCTTAAATGACCAGTAGATCACTGGCAAAAGCAGGCAGAAAAATGAAAAATTCTGAAAATAAGAACCTTTTAGAAATCACTAAAGTTTATAATTATGAGTCTTTGCATTAAAAAAATCAGAGAGATCTCAATAAATACCTAATGATGTATCAGGAGGTTTTACATAAAACAAGTCTACGCCAAAAGTAGTAGATGGCAGGAAGTAATAAAGATTAGGGCAGAAATTAGTGGAATAGAGACTAAAAGAACAAAACATAAAATCATCCAGAGTTGAAAAATGAAGATTGACAAACCCCTAGCAAACATTATTCTAAGAAGGGAGTGACGAAAATAGACAAAGATCAAGAGATTCTAATACAATATAGAGGCTATAATTTTAAATCCTAGGGAGTTGGGAAAGTTTTATAAGAAACTGAAAAATCTCTAAGAAATAGATAAATTACTAAACACATATTTATTATATATACAGTATGCCTGTATGCCAGAAGAGGGCACCAGATTTCATTATTGATGGTTGGGAGTCACTATGTGGTTGCTGGGAACTGAACTCAGGACCTCTGGAAGAGCATCCAGTGCTCTTAACCTTTGAGCCATCTCTCCAGCCCCATAGTTAATGTTTAAATATGTGTAAATGCTGTTTTCATGAATTATGCCGAGTCAACTTAAAAAGTCATTTTTCATTTTCACTGGTGTATGTTCTTTGTATAGCATACTGGGTCCTCTCAGGACCTTCTCATACAAGGATGCAGTGAACTCTGAGTGGACACTGCCCAGGCCCATCCCTTTCTCAACTCTATTAGTTCTCTTTGCTCCCTGGGCACTTCCACTTCCTTCATGTCACACACACACACACACACACACACACACACACACACACACACACACAGGATTTTATTATCTGTGTATTATGACAGGACATATTTGTCCAGGAACACAAATGAGGGGAAACGTGCAGTAGTTTGTCTCTAGGAGACTGGCTTCATTTGTTTAATATGATTGTTCCTGCAAACAACATACCTTTGTTCTTATTTCAGTGACCATTTTATGTGACTGGCTACCACTCAACTTACTACCTTCTGAACATTTATGCAATAGTTTGAATTGTCAAAGGCCTGGGTCATCTTCATTTAAAACCTAAGAACATAGGAACGGAGGAGGCATTCATGTTTAGACTTGAAGCAGGATTCATTTCAAATTCATCTCCTAA